GCTAGTTTTGTAACGGTAAAATATTTCGGTTTCCAGGTTTTCAATATACATAGGTCCCCATAAGCGTTTTTCCCTGGTTGGAGCCATCCGTGTTCTCTAATACTTATACCACAGCTTCTGATATTTTATATTTCAGGTATGCGAACTAAGTATAAGAGTCGTTCGGCTGTGAGTCCCTCGTCTCTTATATGTGTTTCGATCGGTGTAAATTTTTAATTTGAAAATGCGATTTTCTTATTATACAAACTTAGAGCAAGTATTTGGGCGGTAATTTCCACAAATCCAGTCTCAATCGTTCCACAAATCGTTAAAAATATATAGTTCGACTATAGTTTTTAGCCGGTTTATAGAAAACCAAACTGGCAACACTGTAACATGCAGTGGATCAGTCTGTCTATTTGTGTTTGCATGTTGAACAAGTGTTCTAGAATCGGTATCACTTTGTTAAGTCAGCAAACATATTTGTTGGTAATTTATATTTGACTAAATTGATTTAAACGAAAAGAACAACAACAATTTACACACAAACGTAATTGTATACAGTTACAATTTCATGGTTTAACGCGCTTTTTAGATACTTATTAGGGTTGGGTTGTTAACGAGTAATGGTTAGTGGTTACTTGTTATTTTAAAAAATGTAATCATACGCATCAGCTGGAAATTAAAAAGAAACCCAATTTGTTATTGATTCCCAAATAATGTTTAACTGGAGAAACCTGCATATGGATCTAATTACGCCATTAGTTCTTTGGAGGAGGGACATTGTTAGAAATTTTGTGAAAAGTTATGTTTTAAAATAGGATTCAATTAATTAATAATACGACTAAAAATTTAATGGACCATAAAAAAACCTACGGACTATAAAAAAACCTATCTAAAAAGCTAGATTCACACCTATGTCGAAAATAACATGACGTGTACCCTAATTCAACTTCTTAAAGAGTTTCTATACGAATAATCGCTACATTTCCACATCTCTAGAAATGAAACATGTCATTGTTTTGATTTCACCCTAACCACCACAAAAAATGTATAAACCTCATTACAGACGTCCTTGCTGTCATAAATTCCAAACAAATTATACAATACAAAAAGGAAAAACAATATTCCCTTTTGTTTTTGTCAACAACAGCCTAATGTCAATCCCAAAATATTGCATAAACACTTACGAGTATATCCTTTATATTAAAATACAAAAGATTCTTGTTACTACAGGGCAGTAGCAAAATTGGACCAAAAGTCAATCCGCTGTAATAAGAATAAACCACCCTTGTTAGCGCGTTTGCCTAATATAAACCCAAAATGTTACATTTTCTAAGATGCAACACTTGGTGGGCAATATGTTTTTTTTTGTTCATATTCCGTATAAGTATTACGGAAAGATTATTAGTAACACTTCATGCGAAATTAGCAATTGAAGGCTAAATGCAGTTAAGGGTTGCTATATGTAGAGCTGTATGATGGAATGGTATATAATAGTTAAATCTGTGTTGTTGTCTATTGTTAAGAGGTTTCACGTGTCTGCTATTAGCACTTTATTGCCAAACAGTGATTTAGTATTTCTGAAGATTATTAAAAAATTATTAAATTTTGATTAGTTGTTGTCAACATTTTTAACAGAGAAGTGTGTAGGATACCACCTGCAGAGAGAATTCCTTTAAAACCACTTTCTTGTTTCTAAGAAAGGACCAATTCTCAAAAATTCCCACAGTTATTACAAAAATTTGAAAGGTTCTCATAGATCTAATATTCCAAGTTGCCGATATGCTGAGTACAAAGTAATGCGAAAGATTTTTGTTTGGTTTTAAGCAAGAGGTTAATTCGGAAGAGATTGATGCCAAGCCTCACAGATTCTTCCTGACAATCGGGGGTTTTCATCGGGGCATTGATATTACATACGTTGTAAAGTTGTATATCAGTTCCAGCAATCCTACGGTAAGAATGGTAAAGAATTTAACTTATCTGGGCTAGTTTCTATATAGACTTCCAAATGAGGTAAGGTATACTACGCTATCTAATGTTGATAACTTTTCTAATTCCACATTGAAGATTCTAGAAAGTTGTGAAAGTAATATTGTTGTTGTGATTTCAATGACCTCAATTCTTCTTGGCTTCGCCAATATTTTGAGTCATAAACCTCGCACAACTAGCGAATGGCCCAACACATATTCCATGTGTTAAAGGACAGTCTTGACCTTTTTATACTTCACACCTGATAATAATGATCACAGCCATTTCCGCTCCTTTATCACTCTCCAGACTTCGTAACGTTGCACCATGAGCTACAAAACTTCATATACGAAAATGCTCATTTTAAATTGGCAACTTTGTTCCGTAGACAACAATGCCAAAGTCATAATGAAATTGGTCTAAGACATAATCATGTTGGGAATGAAAACTTTCATTCAGATAAAAATATCGGCGACTAAGTCCTGGACGAAAGTTTGGGTTCAATCAGATGTGAAAAATTTAAATTAGGTCGATTTTCGTGTGTCAAAGTACTAAAACTCTAAAAGTTTTTATACGAGCAGCGTCTTCGTGCTAAGATTCTTATATCTTCCCGGATTAGTTCATTCATTAAAAGTGTTTTCAAGTATTTAAATCCAAAAATTTACTTAAAGACCGAAAGTAAAGCTTTCGTAGTGATCGTTTTACGACAGACCTACTAATCCTTCTATCGGAAAAATGGCAAAAGCAAAGTGGTGGATCCAGATATCTCTCTCAAACTTGCAGCGCTATCAACTTTTTTAAGCAGATGATAGCAACATTTGCCATTCCTATTCTTTCAGTTATAGGCCAAAACCTTTGAAGATTGTGGCAATGGGATGAAACTTGAACGTCTCACTTAACGAAAATCTAGTAGAAATCTCCGAATAGGGTCGTGCTTATAGAGTCGATTTGAATGCCTTAAGACTTTTTCCCCCAGAAACATTTTACCTTGATGAAAGACCCCTACTTGGTGTGTTTGCAATCCCTGTGAAAAGAGGTGCTACCAGTACCTCTAGTCTGGTGGGATTATAAATTGGTGATGATCAAATGTATCCTCGGCCTTTACTTGGAATAATTTGACATGGGGTTGAAACAAAGGACCACACAATCTAGTAACACGGGAACCGGTAGCCCGCAGGGCAGAGTTTCGGGCTTTGTCTTGTCCAGGTTATTGGAGAGGTCCCTTCGATGGTGGCTGTGATCTAAAACCAAATTCGCGGAAAGAGAATGTCGGTTAAATATATATATATATATATATATATATATATAAATATATATATAATATATAATTCTGGATTCAGAGGAGTGACTGAGGGACTATCCGTTGAAAATGAGTTTGTGTTAAGTGCTTATGTTACAGGATGAATGAAGGGATACCCGTATATCTAGAGTAAGTGTGTTGGATGTTGTTCTTTATGGATGTGTCGAATGAATGAGAAGTTATGGGTTAAATTGTGATGGATGAAAGGTATCTTATACAAGTGATACCATTGAATTTTCCTTCCTTGACCAGGTATGTCAATGTTCATACCAAATTTATCACTCTGTGAGTATGAACAAAGTCTTCGGCTCATTTGATGGATTCGTGTTTTGGTCTACCGAATACGTCTCTTGGTGCTGTTGCCGACTCAACAGAGGCCATCCCATCTGCGTGGTTGCATCTCGGAAGTTAAGTAACGGGGCAGCAATGATCAGAGATTAGATAGCTCGAGTACTTGAGCAAAGTGCTTGTACATGGACCGGCAGAATAGCCACCTGCGTGTAAGATACACAAAGGGGCTGTGGTAATTCGTGAAAGATTCCCACCCTGTGGGTGAAAAAGACCGCCGTGATATAAGACCTACATGGCAGGTGTTCACGTAAAGCTCTTCGATATTAGTTCTTAAGACTCAGTGTTGTATTTTAACGCACAAATGCATGACAGATCAAGTTGCTTCATCTATATTTATGGATGGTGTAAAGATGGCGTCAGAATACAGTGTGATGCTCGCTGATCTTAAAACATATTTCAAGTGCCGACACAAGCCTTCAAGTTTCACGGATTTTGAAAACAGTGTAAGACATATTGTACTTCATCTGACCTTCTTGTTATATGCACTACTTATGTCGGACCTAAAATACAAAACATCTTTCATGTACGTTTCATTAATTTCTTTTGATTCCAATGTGGGTGTCCCTGCAAAAATTATTATAGTACATGATCCATTTAGGTAATCCCACAACTCCCCTATAGTCACTATCGGGGTAGAGGATTCGTTTAGTAGTTATATAGGCATGAACTACGATTACTTTTTTGAATAAAATATGGTCTATAACCTGCATTAAATTAGACCATGTTGCGGATCATATACTGCTATAATTTTAGCGAGGGTGTAATTTTGGTATTGTTCTGATGTAATGCATGAGTAGATTTCGTGGTCCTCACCTACATAGGTCATTGCAATGTTAAATTAGGATTAGTTTTAGATCAATCCTAGTCTTTTAAGGGGCATTCTTGCAGGAGTGTTTCACTGTTCAATGGAATATGTTCTTTTGATATTGAGAAAGTTGTGCCCAACACAATGCACTGTATGACTAGCTGTCATAACCTGGGTGCTATGTTGTCCTAGAAAATGCGAAGGCCTTTCGCTTCGAGAATCTGGTTAGTCAAGAAAAGTTGTATTTTATGTTGTATTTGATTTCACTTTCTAAGATTGATTGGAACCACTCGAATAATTCCCGAACCATAGTGTTTAATAGACAGTACTTATAAAATATCAATTCGGGAAAATTTTTAATATTGAATGTGGAATGTGGAGTTTGAATTTCCATACATTTCATACACTTTCAAACACTTTCAAACTAAATTCTAAATTTTGATATTTTGTAATTAGAATCGAACACTTTCAAACTCTCCAAAAACATTTTCAAACATTTAAATTTTTACATATATATTTATATATTTAATTTGTTTACAAATTAAATTCATTACACAATAATCAACAAATAATATCCGAAAATGACAATACGCCTTAAGCCAAACTATGACCATAAGGTGAAGCAAAATCTCTTTGAAATGCCGACGGATGTAAATGATGGGGCATTGCACCGGGATGATGATGACCATTCATGCCACCATAGATATCATTAGAACGGGTTTTTATCGAATTCATAGGTGTGCCAGTCAATAGTTCTGTCATGAAGCCAATGTACGTAATGGCCAAACGTAAAGTTTCAATGCGTGATAAACGTTTTTCATAGGCGAACGTTGGAACCTTACGTCTTAGCTTATCGAAAGCTTCATTTAAATTAAACATGCGACGACGTTCTCGTATATTGGCTGCCCTCCGTTGGGCCATGGAAGCCGTGCGACGTCTAGTTTTCTTAGTAGGATTGCCATTAGTAGACCCGTTAGAGGTGCCATTGGTACGACTGCTGCTATTGGAACGGGGATTAACCAGACTGCTGACTTGCGATCGTTGCCATAGAGCTGTAATGTTAATTTTGTTTATATAAAAAACTTGTTCAAAAAATCTTTTAAAAAATTTTACTCACCCAAATCTGTGCAAGGAAATCCAGTAATTAATTCTTGATAAGGTACTATGGGAGGCGGTGGTGGTGCTTCCTGAGCCCATAATGGTTGAAAGGGCACTTCTGGCATATAACCAGTTTCTGTATGATGTTGCATTTTATGGATATTTTAATATTTTCTGTTTTTTTTAATATCTTAATACACAATTAAAATTATCTAATTTAATTATTGTCTTATTAGATTTATTAAATCAGTTCAGTCTTTTCTACTTGGAAGTTCTTGTTTGAATGTTAGTTGGTCTCTTCGCACATCTTACTTTTATAGGAGTTTTTTTTTTTTCTATAACAAATTTATCCTTGTTGGAATCTGAGGATACATTAGAACAACCCTTATTAAAGTCGCCATATTTATTTTCCAATTGGTAACAGCTCTTCGGAATTTCATTGGTTCAATAGAATTTGGGGTGTTTTTTATGTACAGTGTCTCACATAAGTATTCGAATTTGGTTGTACTTTGAAAAGAAACATAATTTAATAATATTTTTGTCTGTGAAATGAATAATTAAATTTGTTATATTGTCTAGAGAGTCCTAAGGTATAATATCACACTCTTTAAAATTTGGAAAAATTACATTTACCTCAATTGATTTAACTTTTTTTAAAAAAAGTCCATAAAATTGCCTCACAAAAGTATTCGAATTTTTCCTGTATTCCATATATGACCATATTATACGAAACACAAAAATTATAATCGAGTGGTTTTTTGCTTAAAATTGTGTTAAGGGGTTACTATCGACCGAAATTATATATTTTTAACCCATTTGTTCCACAATTTTGGAGCATTTGTACCATCTTTTCATGTAATATCATTAAAATGGCGATTTTTTACCATATTTGCAATTTTTTCCTTTTTTTCAGAAATAAACCCAAACTTTAATATTGGGATTTAATAGACCCCTTGAGGTATCTAAAAATAATAATTTTTGTTATAAGGATCTGTACTTAAAAGTTCCAAGATGTATTTTTGGTATCGTTCTTCTGTTTCTAATTGAATTGTATGGATCTTAAGTCCCTTTTCGTACCACTAGGGTCGATATTTTCCGACAAAGTTGGCTAGTATACATTCATGTACATATTAGCACTAATATATTTTAAATTTTCAATACATTATATCGGTATACAATTCCAAAATATGCCTTAACAAAACGTCATCCTATACAGTAGATTTTAGTTTTTACTATTCGTAACTTTCACGCTTATGTTGCCCATTACAATAACAATGTAAGTCCAAAATTTTGGGTTTATTTTGATCATAGTAATCAATATTTAAAAAGATATCGATATTTTTGAGTTAGACCATAATGATATAGTGGCATGCAGCCTGGAGGTCATTGGTATATAAAAATAATGATACTACCATATTGAATGGTGTTTCTTCGAGGCATGATTTGGAGTTGTACACTTCCACAATACATTGAAAACTTAAAATATATAAAAGCTGATATCTAAAAGAATATATACAAGAAAACTTTCCCCGAAAAGTTTTGACCCTAGTATTATGAAAATGGACTTAAGTTCCAATATATTGAATTAGCGACAGAATAATGATATCAATAATATATCTTGGATCGTTTGAATACAGATTTTTGTAACAAAAATACTATTTTTAGATACTCCAAGGGGTCTATTAAATCCCAATATCAAACTTTGGTTTTATCTCTGGAAAAAAGAGAAAGTACTACAAATATTGCCAAAAATCGCCATTTTAATGGTATTACATAAAAAGAGGGTACAAATCCCCAAAATGGACCAAATGGGCCAAAAATATATCATTTCGGTTGATAGTAACCCCTTAAAACAATTTAAAGCATAAAAACTAGTCTATTCTAAAATTTGTTTCGTATAATATGCTCAAATATGAAATACAGTAAAAATTCGTATACTTTGGTGAGGCAATTTTATGGACTTTTTTAAAAAAAGCTAATTTAATTTAAGTAAATGTAAATTTTTCAAGTTTTAAAAAGCGTGTTATCAAACCTAAGGACTGTCTAGACAATATAACAAATTAATTTATTTTTTTGCACACAAAATATATTATCAAATTTGGTTTCTTTTCATAGTTTACCTAAATTCGAATACTTATGAGAGACACTGTACATTGGTAATAAGAAGTTTATTTTATTATTTCATTTATAACTAGCTATACCCAGTGTGCTTCGCTACCCTCATCGTAATGGAATAAAATAAATATTATTGTAAATGTATATATATCTGCAATATCAAAAAGTCCCCTATTTAAATTTATGTTTATATATTCAATATTTTAGAAAACTCAAAAAGTACCAATGAAGTACGAAAAAGTAACAAAAGTCCTCTTTTATTTAATTTCATGTTCCTAAGTTCAATATTATAGAAAATTAAAAAAGTACCAGTTGAAGAACGAAAAATTACCAAAGGGTCCCCTTTTATAGATTCTCATTAACTCCGGGCTCCACATGGTTAATTTCATGTTATAAAAAACACAAAAAGTACCTTTTGAAGAACGAAAAATTACCAAAAAGTCCCCTTTTATAGGTTATCACTTAATCTTGGCTGTACTTGCTTAATTTCATGTTTCTAGGTTCAATATTATAGAAAATTCAAAAAGTACCTTTTGAAGAACGAAAAAGTGCCGAAAAGTCCCCTTTTATAGGTTATCACTTAATCTTGGCTGTACTTGCTTAATTTCATGTTTCTAGGTTCAATATTATAGAAAATTCAAATAGTACCTTTTGAAGAACGAAAAAGTACCAAAAAGTCCCCTTTTATAGATTCTCATTTACTACGGGCTCTTAATGCTTATTTTCATGTTTCGAGGTTCAATTTAATAGAAAACTCAAAAAGTACCAGTCGAAAGACGAAAAAGTACCAAAAAGTCCCCTTTTATAGATTCTCATTTACTCCAGGCTCTACATGCTTAATTTCATGCTTCTAGGATCAATATTATAGAAAATTCAAAAAGTACCAGTCGAAAGACGAAAAAGTACCAAAAAGTCCCCTTTTATAGATTCTCATTTACTCCAGGCTCTACATGCTTAATTTCATGTTTCTAGGTTAAATTTTATAGAAAACTCAAAAAGTACCAGTCGAAAGACGAAAAAGTACCAAATAGTCCCCTTTTATAGATTCTCATTTAATAAGGGCTCTACATGCTTAATTTTATGTTTCTAGGTTAAATATTATAGAAAACTCAAAAAGTACCAGTCGAAGGACGAAAAAGTACCAAAAAGTCCCCTTTTATAGATTCTCATTAACTAAGGCCTCCGCATGCTTAATTTCATGTTTCTAGGTTAAATTTTATAGAAAACTCAAAAAGTACCAGTCGAAGGACGAAAAAGTACCAAAAAGACCCCTTTTATAGATTCTCATTAACTAAGGCCTCGGCATGCTTAATTTCATGCTTCTAGGTTAAATTTTATAGAAAACTCAAAAAGTACCAGTCGAAGGACAAAAAGTACCAAAAAGTCCCCTTTTATAGATTCTCATTTACTCCGGTCTCTACATGCTTAATTTCATGTTTCTAGGTTAAATTTTATAGAAAACTCAAAAAGTACCAGTCGAAGGACAAAAAATTACCAAAAAGTCCCCTTTTATAGATTCTCATTTACTCCGGTCTCTACATGTTTAATTTCATGTTCCTAGGTTCAATATTATAGAAAATTCAAAAAGTACCTTTTGAAGAACGAAAAAGTACCAAAAAGTCCCATTTTATAGATTCTCATTTACTCCGAGCTCTACATGCTTAATTTCATGTTTCTAGATTTAATTTTAAAGAAAACTCAAAAAAGTACCTGTGTAGAACGAAAAAGTAGCGAAAAGTCCCTTTATTATTAATTTCATGTTTCTATTTCAATATCATAGAAAACTCAAAAAGGACCAGTTGGAGAATGAAAAGTACCAAAAAATATCACTTGGTACCGGGGTTCCAAATAACACCCCATTAGGATATTTAGTGTTTCTAAATTTAAAAATTTTATCTAAATTGGATCATTGTGGTTGAATAAAATCAAATTTCCCGTTTTTACCCCTTTTGGTACTTTTTTCCTCCCCATTAACGAAATAAAAATTCTATTCCAAAAAGTTGCAACATCGTAGTGGGAGCCCGTTATTATGAATTCATATGTATAAGTTAATAAACCAAAAACAATGTTTTATGAAAAAAGTACCAAAAATAGGTGCAATTTTAACCCCTTAAACGTCCGAATATCCAAAAAGTACTAAATTCATATTTTTATTTTTTCGTTAAGTTATGAAGGAGTCAAAAATATTTTTTGAATGTGCACTGGTTTAAAAGATACATGGGGTGCGAAAAAAGTACCAAAATACAGTTTTTACCCGTTTATTCCCTAAAGGGGCCGAATTTTAAAAAAGTACCAGACACCTGTCCGTTTATTTTTTAAATGAACGGCGATAAGCTTTAAACTTTTTTTGTATCTTTTCTAGTTTAGGAGATATAAGGTTACCGAATTTACCCTTTTTTACCCCCTAAACATTCGAATTTCCAAAAATCCCGTCTTAGTAGATCTATTTGGCGGGAGACCAACCTCCTGTCCAAATTTCAGCTCTTTAGCTTCAACCGTTTAGGCTGTGCGATGATGAATCAGTCAGTGAATCAGTCAGTCAGTCAGTAACGTTAGAATTTTATATATATAGATAAAATAAACTTTATAATAATAAAGTTTATTTTATTATAAATAAGAACAATTTGCTAGGATAGTATTTTATTAAGGTTTTGTCTGGGATTTTATTGTTCCAATAACAAATAATGTGTTCCTCTGGAGGAACAGTTCCGTAGTATCGTCATGGATCCGTTTTTACGTTTAAATTTAGCTTAAATTATAAATTTTATATTTATTTTGCCAATTTTATATACTACAACTAGAAAAGAATGGCATTTGAAATGACGCCGTGCATCATTTTTTTGACTGGAAAAATTAGAAATGGCGCAATTTTTATAAAAAAATAATATATTCCAGAAGAGAGCAGAAAGCATTCTGCTGTGCACAGAAATTTCCCCGAGCGGTGCACAGCAAAACCATTTTTTTTATATGTGCTGCGTCAAGTTAAAGTGGGCCTAGGGAAACGCAGCAGACTAGCTCCCATAAGAAATACACGTGTTTGTGTGAGGGCGCAGCAAAATCTGCTTATTCGCAGCAACTCTCATAACAACTTCAATGATGAGGTGAC